TTTGAATTAGAATTCACACTTAGTATAAACAAATAATGAAATATTTGGGGTATTTATTTCATTTTCAAATAAACATGTTTAACCGAGAGGTTTATATTTTTCTTTACTCTTTTGTGTTCCAAACTAACTTCAGCTAACCAAAAGAAACAAGGGCCGAGGGGTTAAACCAGTTTAACTAGTTGAAAGATACAAATGGTTAGATCAAATCACATTAAAGGTTTATTTAAACTTGTTAAAAAATCTAGATGTATTTTCTAAAGATGTGTAGGTCTATAAATTCATAATAAACTAAAAAGGATTTCGTATAACACCTTTGGTGTATTTGGTTAATTATTATGAAGGAATCAATAGAAATTCTTCTATTGAGTAATAGGCAATTACTTTACTAACTACGTGTTTGGTTTCTCATAATGTTTTAGAATTACATTATTTTAAATCAATGAAATCCCAAGAAATATGAATATATTTTTAAGTAATAGTATGTCAATATTTTTTATTTGGTAAAAGCTATTTAAATATGTGTATTTAGAGAGAGAAAAAAAAAAAAAAAAAAACACTATAAAAAAACTAATATGAATTTGATCATTTCTTAATTTTTTTTTTATTAAAACCACAAGTTAGTACAAGATCTTCTCACTACAACAACTTCACCCACGGATTGTCCACGAAACTAGATTCGTGGGAAAAAGCTCGTGGGTAATGTTTTCACACGGATTGCCCTCTGAATTACTCATTGATTATTCATAGACATATTAACCCACAGATTTACCACAAACAGTTTACCCACAAATTTACCCACAGTTTATCCACGACAAAGTTACCCACAACTTATCCACGATTAAATTACCCACGGAGTATCCACAAAAAGATTTCCCACATTTTTTTCACGGCTCTGTTACCCACAGATTTTTCATGGATGTTTACCCACATATTTTCTACAGAATTGTTTACCCATTAATTTTTCACAAATATTCTTTTTGGGTGATTTCGTGGATAGTTTGTGGGTAACATAACATATTTCAAATGTTATATATTTAGAAATTGCATAAAATCCAAATTTTTGCAGCTAATTTGAAAAAATATAATATGACCAACAAAGTTTCAACTAAATCCATAAACTTAATCTAGTGTCAAATATCAAATCCACAAAAGTTTCAATTCCCAAATCCATAAACTTAATCTATGGGAAGTTTCAAATACCAAAACCTATAAATACTAAACCCTAAGCACTAATTGTTTGGCATGAATTTACTCCAAAGTTCTTCCATACGTTTTTCCCTAGTTTCTTGACGTGAGAAATACTTTGTAAATACTAAACCCTAAGCACTAACTGTGATGATGATATTGTTCCCACGGATTTTCCACAGATTTCTTTTTATGGGTAATCTGTGTGTCATCCGTAAGATATACTTTGTAAATTAGGGTTTTTTAAGTCGTGGAAAATCTGTGGCAAATGTGTGGGTAATTACCCATGGATTTTGTTTGTGGGTAATTTTCGTAGGTGAAGGTCCATTGTGTAGTAGTGTCTTATTAGAAAAATCTTTATAAAAAACATCTTGTATTAGCTAAGTGGGCTAGTTTCAAAACTTGTAGTTTGATAACTTCTTATTAATAAAAAATGACAATAACAAATAATTATTACCATTGTAATGATTTTTCAAAATACAAATTATGATAAAAAAAAATGTTACTAAAATTTTGAATAATATTAATAACAATAATTATTAATATTAATATAAGGTAAATAATAATAATAATAATAATAATAATAATAATAATAATAATAAATCAAAATTAGTATATTATTATAATATATTGAATTCAAAATTTAAAAAAATCAATTATTTTTAAAAAATAATTTCCAATAACAATTTGCCATCTAAACCATTGAGACATTAGAAGGTGTCATACATGTTAAAATAATGTTAAAATAAGCACATCCAATGTGGTTTATGTGCTTCATGAAAACAATGAACTATGTGATTAACCAGGTCAAATTGGTTCCAAAAGTTAGCAAAACATTAGCTAGAATCAGCGGTAATTGTTGACCAATGTGGTAATGCACTTTCAGGGTTCTTTCAAAAAATCAACACCCACTTGTTTTTGAAAATAAACTTTCAAGTATAGCAAGAATAAATCCTACTTAGCATTGTCATTGTGATTCGCAAGGTCTTTTGGTAGAATCATTTGGTTATCTTTAGACCATCTCTAACCTATATTAAAATTCAATTAATGTTATATTAAAGTAATGTTATATTAAGTTATTTCAACCCCACACTAAATTTAATACCAAATATAGTGTTGCTGCATATTATAATACTAACCATAGTGTTATATTATTCATTACTACTACATATAATGTCGATAATATATATATATATATATATATATATATATATATATATATATATATAACATTAAAATTTTATTAGAGTAAATTACAGTTTTGGTCCCTGTGGTTTAGTTATATTTGCATTTTCATTCCAAACTTTGAAAATTTGACAATATGCATCTTTATGGTTTTAAAAAAATTACAGTATATATCCTTAGTCCATTTAAAAAAGACAATTTAGCCATTACTTTTGTATTTTTCTTATATATATATATATATATATATATATATATATATATATATATATATAATTTAGCCATTACTTTTGTATTTTTCTTATATATATATATATATATATATATATATATATATATATTAATTATTTATTTTTTTATATTTTTTCGCTTACATTTTATTTTATATATTTATAATTTTTATGATTTATATATATTTTTTTGAAATTTTATTCGAATATATATATATATATATATATATATATATATATATATATATATATATATATATATATATATATAAACATATATATGGAAATTATCAAATGAGAACACCTAAAAGGTTGAGAACGTAAGAACATGTATATTCATTTGTGATTCCATGTATTTAATTGTGGAGAAATGATAAATTTTTATGTACAATCAACATGAATATGATTTTTCTCTTCATTTGAAATTAAAGGTGTAAAAATCTATCATTTTTCCACAAATTAATACATGGAATCACAAATAAATATACTTTGTTCTCGCGTTTTCAACCTTTTTGGTGTTCTAATTTGATCCTACCACTATATATATATATATATATATATATATATATATATATATATATATATATATATATATATATATATATATATATATATATATAATGTTTTTTATATTTGGTCGTTTATATTTTTTTGACGCTTTTTTTTGTATAATTTTTCTAGTTTTTTTTAATGTTCGGTTCGAATATATATTTTTAATGTTTTTTTATTATTTTTTTTTTTTTGATATTTTTATAAAGCTTTCTATAAATATTTTTTGTATAAAAATTATAAAATAGTTTGTTAAATGTAATTATGATTAACATATTAGGTAAAAAAAATTATTTATTTTAATAGGGTTATTGTATAGGTTAACCAGAATTCGAAACGAGTATCAATGGCTTTAAGTTTATATTTTTTAGTTTTGCAATTTTTTTTACATTTCGTCCGAATGACAAATGTTAACCATAATTCCTATAACTCAAACACAAGTGTCAATGTTTTCGAGTTATACGGTTTATAATTAGCCATTATATAACTTGAAATCCATTTTCGAATTTCGTTTAGCCAATCTATTAATCGTATTAAAAAATCATAATTTTCTATCTAATCTATACTAATAATATCAACATTTAACGATTTTTTAAATTTTTTTACAAATCAATTATTTAAAAAGTATAAACAAACAAAACATCAAAAAAAAATTTAAAATGTATTCAAACAACACGTCAAAAATGTAGAAAAAATTATTCAAAAAAATATAAACGGACAAAATGTAAAAACCATTAAACTTTATATTCGAAATAATGTTAAATAAAATACAAATAATAAAAAATATAAATAAATAGAATAAAATGTAAGTAAAGACATATAAAAAATTAAACAATATATATATATATATATATATATATATATATATATATATATATATATATATATATATATATATATATAAAAGAAAAGAAAAAATTAAAAAATGAGGTTAATATGGTCTTTTTAATTGGAGTAAAGATGTGTAGTGAAATTTCTTGAAACTACATGGATGCATCTAGAAAAATGTTCAAAGGTTGTTGGACTCAAAGTAAAAATCTAACCAAACTATAGGGACGAAAACTATAATTTACTCATTTTATGAATACAAACTTGCCTCCTAACTTGAAGTTATTTATTTGTATTAAATGACTTTTTTATTTTTAAATTGTGACATGTAACAATTTAATAAAATTTAATGATATTTTAATATATTAATGTGACATATGATATAATTTAAATGAGTAGGAGGATTAATATGAATAAAATGTAGGATTTTTATTATTACAAATCATCATACCCAATTAAATGGTGATACGTGTAACAATTTATATTCATTTAATAAAATTTAATAATATTTTAATATACTAATGTGATAAATATCGTTACTTAAATGAGTAAGAGGATTAGTATGAATAAAAAGTAATAAGATATTTAATATTTCTTATAAATGTGATAAAGTTATGGGTGAGTCAACTCAACATACAAAGGCCCTCCAGTTTGGGATGTCTAGTTTGGTAAGCCAACATTGGAGAGATAGAGAGAGAGAGAGAGAGTCTTTTTTCTCTTAGGGTTGTCAAAATTATACCACGAAAAACCAACTAATATATTACAAACCGAAAAAAGAAAGTCGGTAACCAATATATTTGGTAGCCATCATGTTTGGCTAGTAGTATCGTACCAAATGAGCAATCTTGTAACGGTACAAATTTTGATCTTGTAACGGTACAAATTTTATAGAGTAAATTATATGAATGATCCTATGATTTAAAGTAATTTGCACGTTTGATACCTAACTTATTTTTTTAACTAGGAAAACATTATTCTTCGGAGAGGCCACTCCCAACTAGCCATACTCTAACTGTACATTTGTTTATGTCAGATGATACATTGTGGACAGGAAGTCCAGGTAACTACACAAATCCAGATGCCCCAAAAGCACTATCCGAGGTCCGAAAACTTGTGGATGACGGAAACTATGCCGAAGCTACTACTGCCGCCGTCGAATTATCCGGCGAACCCTCCGCCGTATGTTTCTTCATTTACTTTTTAAATTAATGCACAAACTTTCCTTCCTTTTATAACTGGAATGTAAATACAATCTAATCTCTCTTCTCTTTCTCTCTCAGGCGTTCCAGCTTGTGGGTGATATCAATCTCGAATTCGACAACACTGCTGCTGCCTACGACACGACAACGTATCAACGAGAGCTTGACCTGAACACCGCTACAGTAAAAGTCGGGTACTCCATTGGAGAAGTTGAATTCACGAGGGAACATTTCGCCTCATTCCCTGATCAACTCATCGTCTCCAAATTTTCTGCAAACAAATCAGGTTCTTTGTCTTTCACTGTATCTCTTAATAGCCAGCTACCTCATCGTTCATCTGTGAATGCTCAAAATCAGATCGTTATGGAAAGAGCCGAAAATGACGATAACGCTGAGTCAATTAAGTTTTCTGCTATCCTTGATTTGCGAATTAGCGATGGAATCGGCACCATAACTGTTACTGAAGACAACAAAATTAAGGTCGTAGGATGTGATTGGTGTGTCATACTTTTAGCTGCATCATCTTCATTTGAAAGCCCTTTCACTAAGCCTTCAGATTCTACGAAGAACCCTACATCAGAGGCTTTGAATACTTTAAATTCGGTCAAGGATTTTTCATATGAACAACTTTACGCTCGTCACTTAGATGATTATCAGAAACTTTTTCATCGTGTCTCGATTGATCTTTCGAAAACCGATTCAGAAGATGTGACAGAGAACATGGTGGCAACATCAGAGAGGGTGAGATCTTTCAAAACAGATGAAGATCCTTCGTTGATTGAGTTGCTATTCCAATACGGTCGTTATCTTCTTATTTCATGTTCAAGACCAGGAACTCAGCCTGCAAACCTTCAGGGTATATGGAATGATAAAGTCACACCACCATGGGAGTAAGCTATTCCATTCCGAATCCGACCTTTCCGTTTACAAAATGGAAATTAAAACCATTTTTATCGTCTTATATATATTTTCAGTGGTGCACCTCACTTGAACATCAATCTTCAAATGAATTACTGGCCTTCACTTTCCTGCAACCTCCATGAATGCCAAGAGCCTTTGTTCGATTACATTGAATCACTTTCTGTAAACGGAACCAAAACCGCAACAGTAAGACGATTTTGAACTTTCTATATTCTTATTATAAAAAGCACCAAAAAAAAAAAAGAAAAAGGAAATGACTATTTTACCCTATGTTAAAGGTAAACTACGAGACAAACGGGTGGGTTGCACACCAGGTATCGGATATATGGGCCAAAACATCACCTGATCGAGGTGAAGCTGTGTGGGCTTTATGGCCCATGGGTGGAGCATGGCTTTGTACCCATTTATGGGAACATTATACTTATACAATGAACAAAGTAAAACCTCTTTTATTTTTTTTCATCTCTAATTTCTATCTTCACATAAATAAACATTAACTGTGGTTGTTAAAAAAATAGGATTTTCTAGCAACAAAAGCATACCCGGTGCTAGAAGGATGTGTTTCTTTTCTTTTGGACTGGTTGATTGAAGGGAAAGAAGGGTTTCTTCAAACTAACCCATCAACTTCACCCGAACACATGTTCACTACACCTGATGGTAAACCCGCTAGTGTCAGCTATTCAACCACCATGGACATGTCTATCATTCGAGAAGTCTTTTCTGCAATTGTATCTGCTGCTCAGGTATAACACAATACAGTACAACTTGTTCTGTCATGTCATGGATTGTACTGTGTGACAAATGAATGGTTGGAAACAAACAGGTTTTGGGAAAAGGTGAAGATGATTTGATCAAGAAAGTTGTTGAGTCTCAAGGGAGACTTGAGCCAACAAAAATTGGTAAAGATGGTTCGATTATGGAATGGGCGGAGGATTTTGAGGATCCAGATGTGCATCACCGCCATATTTCACATCTATTTGGGCTGTTTCCCGGGCATACAATAACTGTTGAGAAAACTCCGGATCTATGTATAGCTGCTGATGTCACTCTTAATAAAAGAGGTGCTACTATATCACATTTTATGATAAACTAACCAAAAAAAAAAAAAAGCAAAAAGTAGGAAGGTCATATCATAATATCATAATGAAATGATTATCTTGTCAACAATATTTATCACAAAGTGCCCAACTAATTTAGCCGGGAAAAAGGTATTTTAGTAATTTTTATTGCAAAATGACATCAATTTTTGCAAAGATATAATTTTAGTTTTTCAAATAAAGAAAAATATTGAAATTGGCTAACACAGGAAAATTTGACAATGTTTTTGGTTTGTCCTAGTAAGATTGTGGGTTAATGTCTTTTTAATTGAAAAACCATTTTTTTTCATATATTTCTTGAAATTTGGAAAAGAAAAAATCTTTATAGAAACTTGAACATGACCTTCTCTGTGTTAAACCATATTTTCTTAACATTTATAAAAATAAAATTATAAAAAAAATAAAAATAAAAACCCTTTGTTTTTTTGTATTTAGTCAACTTTTCACATAAAAAAATACTCAAAGAAAAACTTCTCGCAAAGAAATTAAAATATGTAGTGAACTATGATGTAATGGAAAAAGTAATTTCGAGAAATGGTTGGTAATTACTAATTATGTTAGTAAAAAGGTGAAAACGTAATCCTATGTTATTATAAATTTATAAATATCAAACATTATTTACGTGATTCAACATTTTTATTTAAAAAGGAGAGGAGGGTCCTGGGTGGTCAACTACATGGAAAGCGGTTTCGTGGGCCCGACTTCACAACAGTGACCATGCATACCGAATGATCAAACATTTGTTTGACTTAGTTGACCCTGAAAAGGAAGCCAACTATGAAGGTGGACTTTATAGTAATTTATTCACCGCACATCCGCCTTTCCAAATCGATGGCAACTTCGGGTAATTACAAAATACCATATTTTACTTGTGTTTGCCAAATAATTTGTAATTAATAAACTGCTGAATGGATAAATGATGTCTGATTGGAGAAAATGAAACTATACTTTTTGGTGTACAGTTTCAGTGCGGCTATAGCAGAGATGGTGATCCAAAGCACCGTGAATGATATTTACTTGCTTCCGGCACTTCCTAGAGATAAATGGGGGAGTGGATCGGTGAAAGGTCTGAAGGCTCGTGGGAATGTAACTGTGAGTGTTTCATGGAACGATGGAGGTCTGAATGGGTTCAAACTTTGGTCCCCAAATGACAACAATTTAGAGGCGATGGAAAATGAAAGTGTCACAAAAACTATACATTACAAGGAAATGAGTGTCGTGGCAAAAATGATGAAAGGAAAAGTATATACTTTTGATAAGGAGCTACAATTCATAACGACGGATTGAATTCTTAGTTAGATTCATCAAGTATTTTCTATAAATAAATAGTAGTATGTATGTTCAATTTCACAGGTATTCAATAATGTGTGTTTGTGTTTATATGTTATACAGTTTATGGTTTTTCAAATTTTTTTTAAATCATAAACTATCTAAAACTGTTCCTAAATATCATCAAAGTTTTTTAAATCATAAACTATCTAAAACTATTCCTAAATATCAATTATATCTCCTACAAGATTTGAACCCATAACCTCTCATTTGAGATGATCACTCCTTACCATTAGGTCAAAAACTTTTGATATTTGGATGGTTAACATATACATGAGAATGGCTATAAGTCTCACATATTTGAGTAAATGCTATTATGGTTCTTGAACCATGGAAATGGGATAAGGTGCACGTCATTGTTTTAGACTTTTAGTTACTTACGTTTTTAATACATGTGTCTTTTATCAAATGTTTATTTGTTCATTTTATGATATGAACTTATGAATTTAGTAGGCGACATTCCACCAATGTGATTTTTACCATAGATGTTGCGGAGAATTGGAGCCCGAAAAATGTAAAGATGCAAGTAATGAATATGAAGACAAGGTTAAAACATGATCTGTTCTTCCCTTCAACCACCACCGTTCCTATCGTATTCTCTATATCTCTTTCATTATTATTTTTTTGGTCTCTAACTTTCTCTTGCATTCCCATAGACACACATCTCTTGGAAATGACATATCAATTTTGTGTTCGAGCCACCTTTGCAAACACTAAGTTCTTACTTTTTTTGTTACGTATTTGGTGTTTTTTTAATTTCTTCATTTGATTTGTTTATGGCTTATTTATTGAGAAAAGTGTACGTTGATGTTTTTGTACCGCGATTTAATTTTGTTGGAACTGAACATGTGGAGTTGCATGTGAAGTGTTTGAAGTCCTCAGTGAGGTTTATTTTGTGAAAATGTATTTTGATGAACATATGAAGTTTTAAATTTTGATCAGTAAGCTCTTTTTACTATTTCCTTCTAGAACTGATCTAATTGTCTTTAACGTTTATGGTGTATATTATGGATCTTACTATAAAATACGATCTTGAGAGTTTGCATGCAAGTGTTTATGAAAAGTGCTCAGTGAGGGTTTGGAACTTATCACAAGAAGACACTCTCATGTTTACTGTATGTTGTTTGATAGGAAGCCTAGTAAGAAAATAACGAATTATACTAATAGTTTATAGGTTTATCCATAATTTTGACTAAAATTCTTATTTTGTGAGTTTAGTACTTCTAATACAACCATATGTGTACACATCATACACATGTATATTGTGTTTAGTTGTGTGTGTGTATACATACATACATACATACATATATACATACATATATATATATATATATATATATATATATATATATATATATATATATATATAAACATGAACGAGATACATACAAGGTACAATTATAACCTTACTTTTAGTATGAACTTATTACTATATATATTTTGCCATACTTACATGGATTTATTTCACTGGTTAGCCATTATACAAGTGAATTATTTGCTATGTCGTTGTATACCATACTAGATGTAGTGTGCGTTTTAACTATGGTTAATATACATACAATTTATGATCATTCAAAAAAACATTTAACGAAGTTTCAGTTTGGGCCCCCCTAGTTCTATTATTCGTGTTTCGTCCCTAACTTCACCTCATTGAAACCTTCATTCCTCAAGACTTTAGGCAACAACATCCACGACCAATAGGGTTTCAGGATCGGGGACTTTTTTATCTAGAGCAATACAATCAACATTAGGCTACCTTCTTTTTTCATCTTCTGGAGTTACTCCCCAAAACGATGCTCGTATAGGATTCATTCCCACGCTTCTCATCATTTTGTGCGAACCTTACAACATTAGGACCATTCTTGCCTTTATTACCTACCCATACTGGCTTTTGCACTATCTTCAACCTCTTAAATCGAACAGATGACACCCAAAATTGTCAATCAATCTATTCTTATCTTTTAACTCGTAGAAATTGAATGAAAGCAAAATTTTAACCCGTATTTGACCGTTTCAATGGAACGTATACTACTGATCTAATTCCATAATGCACACATAACTTCCATAGTTTCATCCACCAACTAAAAACTAGGATTCGACTTTGCTTGTCTTTTAATCAATCTTATGTGACCACTATGAGAAAAAAGAGGGATTTTTTACTTATATTTTCGAAGAAAAATAATTTTTCGGGATTTCCAACACATTAACAAGGAAATTCCTGGGAAAAAATAGAAACTTGATTTCCTTGAAGTTCCTAGGACCTTTTCTAAGATCTTTATAAATACTTAATTTTCCTGGATATTTACTCATTAATATTTTTTTTTAACAATTTTGTTATGAGAAAAAAAATCATATCATTTTTAAGCAGAAAGATAATATATATATATATATATATATATATATATATATATATATATATATATGACTTTATAAATACACTCATTTATCCCTACGCTTTCTCCTAGGAATTTATAAATGCTTCAGTTTCCTCGACATTCCCTCTGTATTTATGAGGAATTTCATTAAAATGTGGAATTTCATAGGAACTTGCTTATAAATGATCATTTTATGAATATACCTGTTTGTTACTTAAATGAATTGAAACCTCAAAAGTTGGTTGTAACAACCTGTATTTTTCATAAAATATTTCACATTAAATTCTGGAAAATATAAGAGTAATTCACATTGTTTACAAAAACAGAATTTCAAAAATCTTTCCAAAAGTATATCCAGAAACAAGTATGGGTGTACCAATCATATCCTAACCACAATTCAAGCAACACGAATAATACATGAAACAAAAGTTCAGTCCAAGTTCTTGATGCTTCTAGGTCCACTATCTCTATGGTTTGCTACCTGAACCTGTAAACACATGGAAACAATATATATCAGACAACAAGTCTGGTGAGTTATAATTTAACATAACATACATAAAATTATTCATTAATTCATGTACTTCACATACCTTACTAGTCACATAAGTGACCATGCATCTTACTCTTACCGGTAGACAATTAACCGATCTTTATCATCTTTAAAGTTTCCATGCAAAACTCTAGACATTCTCCTTTATTAGGATCCCTAATTTTTACTCAATATATACATTTGCATATAACATCATAATAAACATAACATTCACATAACACACTTTATCCAACATGTCTCTATCTAATAATGATGTAACCTACATTTACATATTCATTTCCACATACTTTAACATCATTCTATCCCACAACATCATATTCTAAAGGGATGTATAACCCACCTCTTTGAAGACAAGGACAACCAACTTCCAAGATTCTTCAAACCTTCTTGTGGAGAACTCCTACTCCTCTTTTGCCACAACCTATATCATTCATACATATTATGCTCCCATTTAAATAAGACTTAACCTATTAAGAGCTCAATAACATTTCTAGCCAAAATCTCATTTTTGGGCGGAACTCCTTATTGACAATCCTTTTTCAATAAACATGTTAAAATACTCTAATCAAGCTTTTCAACACTTAATCTAACAAGTTCATAACACACATTAACCATTTCATGATTTTCCTAAGCTAGGGTTTCAAACCCTAATAATCAAAACTTGAATTTAACCATAGAATTTCCAAAGAAATCATGTATTAAGCTTCTCAACACATAACTAAACAATACTTACAAGTTATTCATAACTAATCTTGCATAACTAGATCAAATCACCAAAATACCATTAAATCCCTAAAAACCTTGAAAATGGAGAAGATTGTACCTCAAGGAGTTTCTAGTACTCAAACCTTGCCACAATCACCCTTGATCTCCCTAAGAACCTTCTCCAAGCTCAAAATCGTTGGAGCTTCACTCTAGAGTGTTTGGGGGTGTGTTTGAGAGAAAATGAGCCCTAAACAATCTATTAATATATCTTTCAATGTGTCGTGGCAGGCTTCCTGTCACGTCGTGGAGACTTAAATGAGCCCGCAGTCAACACTCTTTCACACAGCAGTGGAAATCCCTGGTAACAACCTACTTTGGCCACCATGTCATGGTACCCATATACCACATCACATTGCACAATATATTTCTTACGAATTACTATGAAATCTTGCCTAAATCACCACCTCAACTACCACGCCACGGTAAGCCTCTCACCGTGATGTGGTGGAGCTGGAATCAACTTTTCCATTGCTTTTTCAATACATTTCCAACCTAATCTTATATCTATTAATATCCAATTCATCCTTCAACAAAATAACATATTTTCATTGCTCAAGAAACATCAAACAAACACATAATAGGAATTTGATAATATTCTACAACTCAAACATACCAAAAGGTATAAAATGCCCTTAAACACATAATATTAATCTAGAACACTTATACCAAAATCTAGGGTCTTACGTTGGCTCTGACATGACATATTGACATGTTTGGTAAGAGACTTTGGATCAAATTCTTTTATTCATCGCTGTTTCTAAGTAACTTTCTAGTTTCTAGTAATTAAATTGAATTTAGTTTGTTATATATTATTATTATTATTATTATTATTATTATTATTATTATTATTATTATTATTAACGACATCAATGTTGTTATGAATACACATACACATAAATACTAAAACTAAGCCTAATGTTAAAAACAAGAAAATTTTGTCAATTATCCGTTGGAAATACGTAGGAAATTCCAAGGAATAACCTAGGAATAGATTTGTTTTTTGTTTTTTGAAATAAAAATGTTATTTTTTTCATTTCATATTTTACACAACCTCATTATAACATGAATTGATATTAGGTCAACACATTACACACGACATATATCCATATGTAAGTGTGTGTGCACCATCATAACGCATTACTTATAACATTTGTGTAACACCCATTTTCAGGTATTTCCATTTTAACCCTTAGCATTTTTAAATTACAACATTTAACCCCTTACAATGAGCGTACCAACTTTGTATATCGGGCGTAAGCCAGAATAAGGATAGAGGTGGTGGAGGAGTACGTTGGGCGTACATATGGGTATGTCGGGCGTACTCCTGCAGCTTCTAAAACCCTAAAATTTAGGATTGTATCCCCTATTTAAGCATCTTAATCCCCTTGGACCTTCTTATAACCATCCTCCATTTCCTTCAAACCCTAAAATTGAAAACCTATCCTTTGTGAGTGA